CCTATACACCACTAAGTAATGTTTTAAACTCATGGTCCACGCTTCTTTACTAGGACCACTGCACTTTGGCATGCCGTTATTATTTTTTCATTTCACCAGGTCAAAATTTAATGTTCCATACATTTTGAAACTCAATGATATATCATACTATATTTGTTGATTTTTCTTTATACCTGTATAATAAATATTGTCAAAATTAAAAGAAGCAACTGATACTTGTATTGTATAATTGTAAGATACTCAACTTGGGATTTACATATTTTAAAGTTGTTAGATGATCCAATGTCATTAGACTCATTACAATACATAGGTCACTTTGATTGTGAGAACGTTAAGTTAAAGTCATTGACCAACCTACTTTTTATACTAAATCATATATGGAAGAAATTATAGTACATCGTTAATGTACCCCGTTAAAAAAAAAAAAAAAAAATATTGTATTACCTCCGTTTTAATTTAGTTGTAATGATGTGGCATTTACTAGCACCTGGGTAAATGTATTCTCGCTTAAATGACATAAGGTTTTTTTTTTTTTTTTATTTTTATTTTTTTTTCTATATTACGAGCATAGAATTTGTGAGGTTTTGATGTGAATTTTTGGACTAGCTTAGCATAAGGGGGTATTTATAGGTTTAAGCATGCAAAGGCAATATTGTATAGGAAAAATTAAGGCAATTTTGGGGAAAGTGAAATGAAAAGAAAGATAAAGTGAGAAATTGTGTTATGATTAAGACCACAATAAAATTAAAAAAAATAATAAAAAAAAATCATATGATACGTTTTAATTGGGAGCTACAAAATTATTCGCAACTTTTAATAAATCTTCTATAACTCGATTATATTTCCATCATAAAATTATTTTAAAAAGTTTTTAAAATAAAATTCATTTATAATATATTTAATTTATTTTTAAAAACAATAAAGAATTAGTATAAAAAATTGACGTTTTGTGAAAAACTACCTTATAAAACACTTTTTTTGCGAGAAATTACCTGATAAAAAAAATATTGTAAGAAACTACCTTATAAAAGAGTATGTAAGTGTCGTAAGAGACTACCCTTGGTCGAAAATTCATCGTTGACTTTTATTTTCCGGAGTTAACCACGTCATCACGTGCCAATTAAGAAAAAAAAGGAAAGGGTGAATTAAAAGTCCCGTGATTGGCTCGTGATGAGGTCAATGCCGGAAAATGAAAGTCAACAATGACTTTCCGACCAATGGTAATCTCTTACAACATTTACCCTTTTATAAGATAGTTTCTCACAACATTTTTTTTATTAGATAGTTTCTCGCAAAAAAAGTGTTTTATAAGGTAGTTTTTCACAAAATGTCCTAAAAAAATTAAATTCAATAAAAATAATTTTAAGTCAATAATAACATAGATATCTATTCACAAACAAAAATTACAAAAAGCACACTGTTACTTCATTAAATAAGTGATATAACATCATATTTCTAGATATCCTACATTATTAAAAAGGGTTTAATTATTAGACCATAATTAGCATTCAAGTAAATGGTTATTTAACCATCTAAGCCACTTATCAACTATGTTATTTACATGTATACAAAATTTATATAACTGCAAATCATAAGGTTCAATTCAGGAAAAAAAAAAAAAAAAAAAAAAAAGAGAATAACTCAATATTTGTTTGACAATGACAATTTTAGTTTAAAAAGGCTTTAAAAAAATTATCGATTGCATGTCTACAACAATAGCAATCAGGGGTAAAGCTACTCACTAGTTATGTTTATTAATACGAAATACAACGAATAATCATCAATAACTTAATACTGAAACAGACACTACCGGCAGTGACACGTATGACATCCCGATGTCGTTTTTTCCCTACAAAACTTCATCTCCCATTTTGGTTAAAATCTTTATTTTTTGGAATATTTGTATAACTAGCTCTAAGTTTAATCATTGCTTTAATGTAATAATACTAGGTTAAGACCCATGCGATGCACTGCACGATTTTTAAACAAAACCTATTTTTGTAATTTGTATATTTCCAAAAAAATAAAAAATTGGCTATATACATAGAAATAAATAAAAATTATGTACCTTGTACAAAAATATTTAAATTCAATGTATTAGACCTGAGAGGTGACATGTGAACAATGATGACATTAACATACTCTGTTTTAGTACCCTATAATGCCCCCTTCGTTTTAAATACTTACTCCATTTCTCTATGTGAAGAGTTTTAGGAGAAATTAGAGAAAGTAGTAAAATATGTGGTATTGGAGTAGGTAGAAGAATAAAAAAAATTGCAAAAAGCAAAAATAGTTGATTTGAGAAAATTGGAGTAGAGAGAATATGAAATTAGCAAAATAAAATTTATGTTGAGTCCACTAGTTAAGAGAAATGAATTAAATATTATAAAAGCTTTCCGAATAAGAAAATGGATAAAGTATTTTTAAAAAGGCTGAAAATGAAATACAGAGCAAATATTTAAAAACGGAGGGAGTATGTAGTTACGAGTATTAGATACCACTAAAATAATATTATTCCAAATCTTTTTATATTATCTCTATAATAAATGTATTCCTTTTTAGTTGGTATCTTAATAATTCCATACACATTTACCTAAAATATTATTTTAATTTTTTTTAATAATCTTTTAAATGGAGTATTATAAGATTTTGACTAAAGTACGGAGTAAATAAAATTGATTCACGCAACTAATACTCCGTATTAAAGAAATATATTTAAAACATCACTCTATATATATAATTTCAATTTAAATATTAAATATACATTCAAATTAATGACAATTTTCAATTTGAGAATTTACCACTATGTATGGAACTATCGATTATGAAAATATAATTAAGGGCCAGTTCATATTTACTTATTTTCAGTTCAGTTCAGTTCAGCTCCAATCAGTTCAGTTCAATTCAGCTCTAATCAGTTCAGTTCAGCTCAGTTGTTAATTTTTTTGTTTTAGATGTTTTAGCATATTACAACAACGACAATAATAATAATAATAATAATAATAATAATAATAAAATAATAATAATAATAAAATAATAACAATAATAATAATAATAATAAAATAACAATAATAATAATAAAAATAAAAATAATAATAATAATAATTATTATTATTATTTTAAATTATATTCGTCGTTCAAAATGGTCACATGTTTTTTTATAGTTGAACTCATTGACAAAATGAGAGTACTACACAACAGTTACTAGCTTTCATAATCGGTTATTAGTTCTTCGTCTTCTTCTTCTACATTAAGTTGCTCCATTACCTCGGCATTCCTCTGAATTGACTCCCATATCTGATCAGTTATTTGGTTTCGTACAATATCCATAGCTGCTTTTCTGTTATCATCGTACATAATATGATCATCTGTTGGTCCCATGACTTCAACTTGGTGCGTGAATGGAATCCCTAGTTCATGTAAACGAACAAAATTGTGTAGAGTACAACAAGCAACGATTGACTACAGTAAAATATTGAAGAATACTTTTTATTTATATATATATATTTAAAATATAATATCCAAAAATTTAATAATTTAAAATATAATAATTTAAAATACAGAGTTATTTTTAAAACACTTTTATATTTTTCACAATCCACTATATATATTATCATTAATTTTCATAAACATTTTCATATATTTTTATGCATTTTAATTTTTTAGTTCAGTTCAGTTCAATTCAGTTCAGCTCCAATCAGTTCAGTTCAGTTCATCAGTTCAGTTCAGCTCAGTTCAGTAAATATGAACATGCCCTAAGTGTGTATATGTTTTATCAAATTTATTTGTTAAATATAGTTAATATATTTTTTTAAGAAAATAAGAATTATTGTGCATGACATGGAGGCTAAAATAATAAGATGATAATATAGCGTAATACGAGTAATTTTTTTTACAGCACGGTCCCTCACGGGCATTTTATTTGATGGCTAAGGTCGCCGCCAAAACTGAACATTTGCCATAACAAAAATGATTTTTTTTCTAACTAGACATATTTTACAATGATTTTGTATTTCTCAATAATCAAATGTTCATTTTTCATACAGGATGATGTTCATTTTTATAAAATAAATGTTTATTTTCATGTTGTACGCTATTCATTGTTATAAAAATAAATGTTCATTTTATTTTTTTAATTAATACAAATTTTTATGTTTGCTCAGTTGTATAAAATGTTCGTTTTTATAATAAAGGATGTTTAATTAACATTAGCATTACTAATGTTAGACATTAGCATTTTGTTCATTGTTAAAAAAAATAAATATATATCATTGATTTATTTAATCGGTATTAAATCATATAGCTCAATTGCAAGATATCCATTCAAGAGAATTGAACAAAATCAAGGTATTTAACTTAAAGCTTATAATTGCTTAAAAAAAAGCTTAAAGCTTAAAAAATGTAAATGAATAAGCAATAATAATATCGTATGTTACTTTTTATTTACAACTGAAATGTTCAGTTATATAATACTAAGGGTCTGTTCTCATTGACTGAACTCAGCTGAACTGAACTAAGCTGAACTGAGCTAAACTGAACTGGACTGAACTGAAATGAATATTTTATAAGAGAAGGAAATTAGGAGCTGAACTGAACTGAGCTGAGCTGAACTGAACTGAATTGAGCTGAACTAAACTGAACTGAATTTCAACGTAAGAGAACATGCCCTAAATGTATAATATCAATTTTTTTTCTTTTTAGTTTCATAGTTTCTTTATTTTATTTTTATATTATGAATGTTCATTTTTATATAATGCATTATTCAGAAATAAAGTTTTTTTTTTTCCTGATAAATATGTTAGTTTTTTCTATTAAATGTTCATTTTCATAGCACAACCTCGGTTGAGCGCGAACTCAGCCAAAAATTTGCGTCTCACGGGCTCACGGCCTGGCCTGGCCTCACCTCACCGCACCGCAAGTCCTGAGTCTAGACACCAAATGATGTGATACATTGCTATTTGCTATGAATATATGTAATAGTATGATACTGAATTGGAGTAAAAAAAAAAAAAAAAAATGATGCCATATATAAATAGATTCCACATTGTCCAAGAACCACCCAAATCTCATTAATACTCTACCAACATCGACTCCCTCCTTTCTTTCCTTCTTCATTCCCTCTCTTTCTCTCTCCTCTTCTCCCTCACTTTCCCAGCAGCCATTGCACCACATCAAAGAGAGACTTCATTCCTTCATTCATTTTATTAAAGTTAAAGATTGTGCTCATTCTTTTTTTTTTTTTTTTTATCGATTAAAAAAAAAAAAAAAAGATTGTGACATTTTATATTATTATTTTCTGGGTTAATTCTAATGGTTTTTTCTGCAAAATCCAATGGTGATAAAAATAGCAGCAGCAGCAACAATGAAGGTTGGGGAATGGGATTCTTGCTCATCCTTTTTCATCATCACCCAGATAATAATAATAATAATAACAATAATTCTCACGAACAACCCAATTTCTTTGGTAAGAAGAAATCTTCGATTTCATTTTCTTCAAAATCAAACAACAATTTACTCGTTTCAAAAACACAATCTACTTTATCAATTTGTGGGATTTTAGTTTTCACAACTATTTTATTATTCACTCTTTCAACCTTCGAACCCACCTCTGTTATGAAGAACAATTACCCATCTTCTCGAAGATTTCTGAAACAAAATAATAACAATCACGAAAATACCCATCAAAGATTCAAGGTTTTGAGCATGTTTTCGAGTAAATTGAAGGGTAGTGAGAGTAATTTCACCCGCATTGATGCTGCGAATACTGCTTTACAAGGTATGGGTGCTCTGTATTTAAGAGGGAGTAAAAGTATGACTGATTTGGTTGTTGGCCATGTATCTGAAAATACTTCTGAAAAGGAGTTACGGACATTTATTCGTGTTTTGATTCACCACTCTGGTCTATTATCTCGGGCTGACTTTGTTTTAATCTACGCCTCGCCGTCGGCCGCGGCGAGGTTCGGAGCATTGGTTAGGTTCGAATGTGACTCATTTGTTCAACTTGATCGAATTGGCGGTGAGCTCGGGAGGTTCACCGAGTTGGGAAGCGGGTTTAGTCGGTATTTAGCGAAGAGGGAGGTTGGAGAAGGGGAGAAAGAGCCGATTTGGGGGAAGAAGAGAGGGAACTCGAGTGAAGGTGAGTTGACCCGGTCGAGTTACGGGTCAGTGGTCGGGTTTGAGGCGAGTGAGCTTGACCCGGAAGATACGCTTTCGGGTTTCTTAGATCATGTGCCAATGAGTTTGAGGAGGTGGGCGAGTTATCCTATGTTGCTGGGACGAGTCCGCCGACAGTTTAAGCATATGTTGCTAGTTGATATCAGGGATACATTGATTCTTTCCGACCCGTTTAGTCGGGTGAGGAACCGGAGCTCCGAGTCGTTGTTTATGTGGTCGAACCTCGATACCGAGCCGACTCGGGGGCATCATCATAGCAAGAGGAACTCGGGAAAGTCGCGGGATTCGAACTCCAAACCTCAATTTAACCCCGCCGTGATTGTCGGTGGGAGCCGCGGGGTGCGTCGGTTCGCAACCACGGCACTGACCGAAATCGTGCGGGGTGTGATAGAGCACAAGGGGAAGGGGCGAAACTCGGTTACCGAGTCGGGACTCGTGAACCAACTCGTTGACAGTGGGCACCTTCTAAAGAACATAAATTTGATCACACCGACCGAGTCACTCGCCAAGTTGAGTTCACTCGGCGGGTTTAACTCGGTCGACTCGGCAAGTTCGAGTTACCTAAGGTTGTCCGACTACTTCAGTGTGGTGCAACGTGGGCATAGTAGTGGTGAAAGTGGTAGTTTAGATATTGATGAGGTGGTTATGAAAGAAATTTGTGCATCTCATAAATTATATTCTTCTGTTTATAATGATTGTTTGGTTAGTCAATAATAGTTAGTTTTACTAGTAAAAATAGTGCAAGTAAATTGGGTGAAAAAAAAAAAATACATAGGAGAATAAATCTAAGTTTTATTTTTCTTATTTTAGTTGATAATGTGCAAATTCTGTTCATAAAAAATGGAAACAATTTTGGAAATATGGAATAATTACATTTAGTTTGTGGTTGAATAATTAAGTTTTTACTACATTGGTGTGAAATTTGTGTACCTCAATGTTCTGCCTGCCATTCAGTTCTGTTTGGGTGTGTTTTGCCAAAGGTTGTATTTATGCTTAGGCAAGTAAATAACGAACTGGCCAAAATTGGGGATAAAATAATAGTTTTATAGACTTTTTATTAAAATTACTCGTATAATATATGGTTTTTATATTATATGGTCCATGAATTCTAGGGTACTGAATAAATACTAGTGTAAGAAAAAGAGAGCATATTTTATTATGAGTATCTAATTATATTAATTAATAGTAGTAATATAAAATAAATCAGACAAATTCTGTTGGTTCTAACTTTTCTCAGGTTAGTTGATTTTATGTTAGTAGAGTTTGGTAATTATTGTTTTTGTTTTGCTTGTTTTAATTTAATTTAATGTATTTACAAAGTAGAGTTAGTATGTTAATCATGTTAAAATTGTTTTTGTTTTGCTTGTTTTAATTTAATTTAATTTAAATGAGTCATGACACTTTGACACACTCATTTCTAATGACAAGAAAGATCCAACTAATTTTAATACAATTACGGCTAGTGAAGACTGACAAGTACCCTAATTGTGGAACAAAGATCCAAATTTAATAAAGAATTGGAGTTTTTAATACTATAATTGAGGAAGCAATTTTACAATATCTAGTTTGGACCGACGGAGTACTACTTAAGGTACTCGTCTATTTGCCTTTCACTCTCACTTATCCACCTCGTTGTCACTTTGAGGATCCTTACGATCATCTATAATATGCAATCGCGCAAGTCTAATGTTTTATTTTTAATTATTCGAATGATAATATCTTAATCATTAGATCAAAACCTCATCGGTAGCACGAGTTCAGGCAATGTGTATCTTCTAGAATTTTTTTGGTGTTTTCCGTTTTTGCATGACTAAGCTAGGTGGAAGTGGATTTTTAATTGTGTCGGTAATCTATAAGCTTGGAGTGAAATTAAGACCACAAAGGACATGTGAACATGCAAGCTCTTAAAACGACTGTGAACTGTATGTTTCTCAAAAGAGTCAATTTTACAATGTGGGACTAATTAATAGAAGTGATAAAGTGATCAACAACCAAATGATTCAGGAGTATGGCTTATTAGAAAAAGGTCGTTAAAGTTGCTAATTAATTGTGGATGAATTATACTTTATATTATAATAATATTATATTGCCACCTATTTTGGTGGTTAATTTAAGCCTTATTTTGAAGAATGCGATCGCATGCTGCTAAAAGTTGGTAAAGAAGTAAAAAGGAAAAGGAGCTTAGTTCACCATTACTTCATTACTTCGATAATATGGTTAGCCCTTCCAAAAACAAGAAATACGTAGTAAAAACTAAAAGGGTTCTAGTTTAGAGGAATAAAAAAAAAAGAGTTTTATTGTTTACTTGTTCGTACATACATTGTTTAGTCTAATAGGCAGTCTCGAAGGATGTGTTACGTTGTAGACAAGATTTAGTATCAACTTTTAATATTTTACTAAATGCGGTAATTGACACTAATTGTTGTTGGTGTAGTGGTGATTGGGTAGGGAGGATCCGTGTTCAATCTTCCACAACAACAATTGAGAGGAGAGTGGAACCTAACCACTTAGAACTAATCCCCAAATCTAGATAAGCCCAAAAGGTGAACCGGGTGGAACACCTAAAAAAAAAAAAAACTATGTATCTTCATATTAGTTAATTGAAATGCTATGTGAAGTAACTTGGAACAAATCGGTTTTATCAAGTAGAAAAGTTTGTACAATTAGAGCCTTAATTAAAGGCAGCAAATTATTATGCAAATAATATGCAATAATTTTGTGTGAATTGCATTTGATTTAGGAAATTTTGCCGACAACAACTTTTTAAATGACCACTTTTGAGAACGACTATCATTTAAAATTTTCTTTTTAAAAAACTACCACAAAGTCACAAAAACTTTGAGTAGCACTACCACGTTTTATTTTCCGGTTGAAAAAGCCTAGTTTATAAAATTTCAATTAATTGTGGTATAGAAAAGAAGAGATTTCAATAGTAAAACACAATTATAGGTCAATTATCTTTAATTTTGCATTACAGTTTATTTAATTTCTCAATTAAATCTTAAAATTAGGGTTTATAGTAAAAAAATTAAATTAAGGGCTTTACGAAATTGGGGGATTTGGGGCAATTAAAGTGTATAATCCAATTAAGGGTTAATGTAGTGCAATATTATCATTTAATTTGGGTTTTTTGCTGGAAATTTTATAAAATATGCCCCCAAAACGAAAATTCTAGCCGAAAACAATAAATGTGGTAGTGCTACTCAAACTTTTTGTGTTTTTGTAGTAGTTTTTTCAAAAGAAAATTTTAAATGGTAGTTCTCAAAAGTGGTGATTAAAATGGTAGTTATTCGCAAAATTTCCTTTGATTTATACTTCCTGGCAAGGTAACAAATTATGTAAAAGTAGTAAAAACTTATCTTCATAATTGTATATTATGGAGTATTGTTCATCAAAAAATAAAAAAAAAATTATGGAGCATTAATTTTTATTCTGATTGTGATACAGATTATGTATGTTCATATTAGTTAATTATTTGGGCATGCATTAAACTCATATAAATTCTTTGACATTTTTTCCCTATATTATCTCAATCAATAATCATTACCAAATGTGCTAACTGCTAATTATTTTTTTTTAATAAATGTTTTCTTTAAAGGTAATATTTAAACATCGGATACATAAAATTATTTAGGGTATTTCAAAAAAAAATGAAGCTAAAGACTTCAATATGGAAACAGTAACATTGTTATTACATACGGTATGTGATTATAAATTTACTAGCTATTTCGTACCACACACGGTTTTTACAAATTACCGAAAATTTTTAATTCAATTATACACAATTTTAAGTTTTTAACTTGCCAAAGAAATATATTAATGAAACTTTGAGATATTTGCTATAATATAAATGGCATGAATTTTTTATTGTATGAAAAAAATATGGTGGTCAAATACAAAGGTTATATTATAATATTATGCTAAATATAATTCTAAGAAGATTTGGCGAAAATAAAAAGAAAATAAAAAAAAAGAGGGCTTTGGAGAGAATAAAACAATACCAGGAAGTCAAGAACTGACATGTGTCATTTTTGGTGTCTGTTTTAATACTATGTTATTGATTGATTCATTCTAAGTATTTCATATTACCTAAAGCTGGGTATCGTGCCGTGCCGAACCGTCATGCGTGGGTCGTGCCTCACCGTGCCAGGAGGTAGCTCATGCCATGGTGTGGTGGCCTGGGTGATGGCGGGCTGTGCCGGACCACCAAATGGCACACCCCACCCGACGGCATGGCACGACCCACGTGCCTGACGGTCTAGGGCGTGCCGGGTTGCGAGCTAGCCTATTATTTTTTTAATTATTAATTTATTAATTTTAATATTTATATTATTTATACTTCTTTGTATTAGTATGACTCTTTTATTATTTTTATAATATTTTTTTATTGTTTTTATTATTTATAGTTTTTTTAATTATTTTTATTATGGGTCGTCTTGCGACGGTACTGGCGGGCCAAAAGTTCGTGTCACCCGCGGGCTTGTGCCAATTTTTTTTGTTCACGGCCCACCCCTCGTTCCTCATGTCGTGTCGTGCCGCTAGTGAGCTCGTGCCGTGTCGGGCCGCTACCATGTTGTGCCCGTGTTGCGGCCCGGCCCATACCCAGCTCTTACCTCCATTTTACAACAGATGTAACGTTTTTGCTTTGGCAAGTCAACCTAACTTACAAAAGGAATGTGTGATTATAAGTCAATGGTGATGATCAATTCATAATTAGGAGTTAAATAATCTACCCTAGAATTAAAATCCAATAATCGAGTCTTTGCCATATATATATAATTAATATTCCTTAGAAAATGTAGGGGGGGGGGTGATTAGTGAAGATAATAATCATAACAATAAGTATACCATAACTCAAAAACGGTGTCATAATTGTGCAAAGGCAGAGATCTAGGAACGTGAAAACCATGCTAATACAAGCTAGCTAAAACAAAGAACCATGTTATTTAAGATTTGATGTTTCTTCTCATGAGATTTTAATCTCTCAATCAATGATAAAAGGTGAAGCAAAATAAAAGTCATGGAGAAAATGTGAGACAACTGCAAGCAATGCAAGATATTAGGAAGGTGGCTCTATTGCATTCATGAACTTTCCGTCCCCATGTGAGCACCCATTTTTTAATGCGTGGGTTCCTCAACATATTCATTATTCCACCCTTGGCTTAACTCTTGCTTGCTACTATCATAAACAACGCTTTTGAGTGAGCGTCTTTTGCGCGCTAAGCTAGCATAGTTGGTAAAGTCACATTAAATTATACTAATTAAGCTAGCATAGTTGGTAAAGTCACATCAGATTATACTTTGTGTATCATACTACATTAGAAAAAACATAATATAATATTACACCACATATGATAATTTGAAGCATAACATTCTCAAATAAATGAACAAAATAAAGTATATGTAATTGTCTACATTATTGATAAAAAATAAAATAAAATAATTTGAAACATATATAACCTCATAGACCCTGTGAAACAAAGTCATGCGGTATGACCAAACCATATTTAAATTAAACTTAAAACCTAAAAATATTATACCACAACACTTCCAAGGGGCCAATCTAGCTAGCTAGCTGTCTAACTAGCTTGCTAAATTGAGTTGTGTAGACCTATAATAGTAGAATTGTGGTCTGATAATATAGTTAACATTGTCATTAGATTATAAAAGAATTATTCTCTTAAAAGAAGTACAAATAAGGAATTAATAAAGACTTAATTTCTACAAAGTATAAAATTAAAGTTAGCTTAGATAATTAGTTTGAGTAGATCTTGTTAAGGTCAATTAAGTGTAGTTTAAGTCTAATAACATTGGTAAACTTAAGAAAGCAATAAGATCCATTAAAGGGTGTATGAGAATGTGTAGTGGTGGACAGTAGCTCATAAAATAGG